GTGAAGGGATGTAACTTGGATAAAGGGGAAAAGTCAATTTTTTTAGCAAGGGGTGAACAATTCTTATTAATCTACTGGAGAACCAGTTCGGGTTGAAGTATAACTTTTGTATGACTGAAGCTTTTAGTGAGAGGTTTAATGCTTTAATATTTAATAATTTTAGCCACCCAAACGAATATTTATTATATAAATAAGCATGTTTAATTTCGTCTGGCTTGCCGTTCCAAATAAAGTTACATATTTTTTGCTCATATAATTAAAGAAACGAGTTGTCTGAAGTACACAGTACCATAAGTCAAGTGTGATCTGACTAAAGAGTTATATCTGGGTGATCTTTCCACAAATAGACAGGTAGTTACCTCTCCACGGTTGCAAGATCTATTTTTGCTAACTTTCTATTGAAATTTGTTATAGTGAGTTCATTTATTTTTGGGGGGATAGGAATACCAATTATGTCTACTTCACCATCAGACCTGTTTATTGGTAAACTACATGGAATTGTAAAAGTAGTTTTTTAGCGATCCAATACACAATATGGTACACTTATCATACTTCTGTTTTAATCTAGGGAGGTTAGAGAAATGATCTAGATCCTCAATGAGACTGTGCAGGGATCCATATTGCGAATTCAAGACAACTTTACATACATTGACGCCTTTGTTTTTAAGCCCTGGATTTCTAGCCCCTTGATATTATTGTTGGATCTGATTTTAATAGCTAACATTTCAATGGCCCTAATAAATAGATACTGCGACAGTGGACAACCTTTTTTACTCCTCTTGACAGTTATTTACCATTTTACACCTGGGCTTGCTATAAATAACTTTAACCCATTGTATAAGGGATTCTCCTAAATTAAAATAGTCTAGGCAATTATATATACATTCCAGTCGTACTTCATTAAAGGCCTTCTCAAAATCTGCTATGAACACCAGGCCTGGTTTCGTTGATGTTTCACAGTGTTCCATTGTTTCAAGTACTGGTCTTACATTATCTCCAATGCATATTTAAAAGGACAGTTTGCACATTCCGATCAACATTTGTAATATCATCACCCCTTTAGAATGTATTTTTTTCATAAAACCTCATCTATAGTCATAGAGTGAGTTTTCCTTTAAACGATAAATAATATATTAATTATCTTTTAGCCAGGTATTTCACCACTTACCATAATGAGATACAAGTTTCAAATTACACTTACCGTATGTGTTTATAAACGTACTATTAAAAAGTACCACGATGATCAAGTATCCATATAGCTGTACCATGTTTTATACACCGCTAAGCATACTGTAGCTGCAATGACTAAGTACAGTACATTCGGAAAGTATTTAGACCCCTTCACTTTTTCCACATTTTGTTACGCTCATCAATCTACACACATTACCCCGTAATGACAAAGAAAAAATGTTACATCACATTTACATAAGTATTCAGACCCTTTACTCAGTACTTTGTTGAAGCACCTTTGGCAGCGATTACAGCCTTGAGTCTTCTTGGGTATGACACTACAAGATTGGCACACCTGTATTTGGGGAGTTTCTCCTATTCTTCTTTGCAGATCCTCTCAAGCTCTGTCAGGTTTGATGGGGAGCGTCGCTGCACAGCTATTTTCAGGTCTCACCAGAGATGTTTGATCGGGTTCAAGTCCGGGCTCTGCCTGGGCCACTCAAGGACATTCAGAGACTTGTCCTGAAGCCACTCCTGCGTTGTCTTGGCTGTGTGCTTAGGGTTTTTGTCCTGTTGGAAGGTGAACCAAGGATCTCTCTGCACTTTGCTCCGTTCATCTTTCCCTCGACCCTGACTCTCGATCCTGACTAGTCTCCCAGTCCCTGCCACTGAAAAACATCCCCACAGCATGATTCTGCCACCACCATGCTTCACCGCTTGGCATGCAGGCCAAAGAGGTCAATCTTGTTTCTCATGGTCAAAGTCCTTTAGGTGCCTTTTAGCAAACTCCAAGTGGGCTGTCATGTGCTTTTTACTGAGGAGTGGCTTCTGTCTGGCCACACTACCATACAGGCCTGATTGGTAGAGTGCTGCAGAGATGGTTGTCCTTCTTGAAGGTTCTCCCATCTCCACAAAGGAACTCTGGAGCTTTGTCAGAGTGACCATCGGGTTCTTGGTCAACTCCCTGACCAAGGCCCTTCTCCCCAGATTGCTCAGTTTGGCCCGGCAGCCAGCTCTAGGAAGAGTCTTGGTGGTTCCAAAGTTCTTCCATTTAAGAATGATGGAGGCCACTGTGTTCTTGGGGACCTTCAATGCTTCCCAAGATCTGTGCCACGACACAATCCTGTCTCGGGGCTCTACGGACAATTCCTTCGACCTCATGGGTAGGCTTTTGCTCTGACATGCACTGTCAACTGTGGGACCTTATGTAGACATGTGTGTGCCTTTCCAAATCATGTCCAATCAATTGAATTTACCACAGGTGGACTCGAATCAAGTTGTAGAAACATCAAGGATGATTAATGGAAACAGAATGCACCTGAGCTCAATTTCGAGTCTCATAGCAAAGGGTCTGAATTCTTATAATAATCTTTTTTTTGTTGCTTTTTTATTTTAGCAAACATTTCTAAAAACCTGTTTTCGCTTTGTCATTATGGGGTATTGTGTGTAGATTGATGAGGAAAGTATGTGGACACCTGCTCGTCGAACATCTCATTCTAAAATCATGGTCATTAATATGGAGTTGGTCCCCCCTTTGCTGCTATAACAGCCTCCACTCTTATGGGATAGCTTTCCACTAGATGTTGGAACATTGCTGTGGGGAGGTCGGGCACTTATGTTTGGTCGATTAGGCCTGGCTCGCAGTCGATGTTCCAATTCATCCCAAAGGTGTTCAACGGGGTTGAGGTCAGGGCTCTGTGCAGGCCAGTCAAGTTCTTCCACAAAATTGGAGCACAGAATCGTCTAGAATGTCGTTGTATGCTGTATTTCCCTTCACTGGAACTAAGGGGCCTAGGCCGATCCATTAAAACAGCCCCAGACCTTTATTCCTCCTCCACCAAACTTTACAGTTGGCACTATGCATTCGGGCAGGTAGCGTTCTCCTGGCATCCAACAAACCCAGATTTGTCCGTCAGACCGTCAGATGGTGAAGCGTGATTCATCAATCCAGAGAACGCGTTTCCACTGCTCCAGAGTCCAGTGGCAGAGCTTTACACCACTCAAGCCATGCTTGTGTTCGGCTGCTCGGTCATGGAAACCCATTTCATGAAACTCCAGATGAACAGTTCTTGTGCTGACGTTGCTTCCAGAGGCAGTTTGGAACTCAGTAGTGAGTGTTGCAACTAAGGACAGACGATTTTAACGCGCTTCAGCACTCGGCGGTCCCATTCTGTGAGCTTGTGTGGCCTACCACTTTGCGGCTGAGCCGTTGTTGCTCCTAGACGTTTCCACTTCACAATAACAGCACTTAAAGTTGACCGGGTAAGCTCTAGCAGGGCAGAAATTTAACAAACTGACTTGTTGGAAAGGTGGCGTCCTATGACAGTGCCACGTTGAAAGTCACTGAGCTCTTCAGTAAGGCCATTCTACTGCCAATGTTTGTCTATGGAGATTGCATGGCGGTGTGCTCGATTTTATACACCTGTCAGCAACGGGTGTGGCTGGAATAGCCAAATCCACTAATTTGAAGGGGTGTCCACATACTTTTGTATATATAGTGTATGTCAAGTGCTGCTCCTGGGTATGTGATCCTAGTATTTTAGGATCAGCATTTGGAGAGGGAGATGGGGGCCAGGGGAGGCAGACAGATGCAGGGGACAGACAAAGTCAGCCAGTAGTTTGACACTGGACCCAGGGTGAGAAGACAGCCACAGGAGGAAGGCCACTCTAGCACAGCTGTGAGGGGGATAGCATGTGAGTCACTGTCTGACACAGACCCCCAGTGGGGAGAGCAAGACATTTGTGGTTGAAAAGAGGGGTGTGAGTGAGGAAAAGAGGGGAGCGAGAGAGAAAAGGGGGGAGAGGGTAGAAATATAGGAAATAGAAGAATAGAGATGAAAAGATAGAAGGGAGGGAGTAATATTGAGAGGAGGGGGAGATAGAATCCCCCAATAAGGAAGAGTGACTGGGATTTTGTAGTCAGATTTAGAAACAGGGAGATTGAGGGGGAACAGAGATACTGAGGAACACGTGGAGGTCATATGGAACCATTAGCTGCTATGACAGCTGAGATTTGATTGGACGGGAGATGAGGACTTTCATTCAGATTAAGCAGATCTGTCAGCATGTTCTTTTTTTTCTTTTTTTAGCTTCCTCATATCACAAAACAGATGCTACCACTCTAACTTAATTATTTTGTGAAGGCGGGGCCCGATTATTGAGATATCTTACATGCCGACCACACCAGCCCGTGTTGCGAGTGTTGCAAAATAAATGTACACATACATGTTTTTGACGCGCTGCAATTCCCGCCTCTCCCATCTCCTCATTGTTTTTTAGGAGCATATATCCACATGGGTGATTGAAAGATGAACTGAGGTCCACACTCCAGTCCAGTTGGTAGCAGTAATGCACCTTAAAGTTGGTTGCCAACCGCCATATAAAAGTCCACAGAAGAAGAAGACTGAAGGAGGAGAGATTACTAGAAACTAACTAGGTTCCCCTTTTATCTGTGGATTAATTGTCAGAGTAGAGAACACACAATTTTGTGTGACTCAAAATAAATCAAATTCTACAAAGATCCATGAATGTTTCATGTGTTTCGACCTGTCCCCAAATTAATATAGTTGGTTCATTTTGACATTTCAGCCTGCAGGTCCTGATCGCGTCTGGTGCCCAGTCTAGTCAGCATGTTAGTCACGCAGCACTCAAAATGACACTGCTGGCAGCTGAAACATATGTTTTGTAGAAATATTCCAACTTCTCTTCCGAGACTGTCAGTTACAAGTGCAATATAAGTTACATGAGTCCATAACTAAAGGTGTGTGTGTCAATGTGTGTTGTCAGGTGTTAAGATCGCAGAAGTGGATGAGAGAGGTGGATAAACCTACCTTGATGCCGTCAGCCTTCTTGTTGAGCAGGCTCTTGGCTGCTGTAAGGACAGAGGACACGGGGACAAGGTCAGCGAGGACACCTCTGACACACACACGTGCACACACACACACACACGCCACTATATCTAGTGAAGACGGTCAATTATGGGCCAACTGTGACAGTCCTAAAGAATGTAGGTTTAATGCCCTCTACCACACACACACTCGTAAATAGAGACCTTCAATTGCTTGCATCTAAAACTTTTTTGAAGGAAGACTCCAATCATGTTAATGTCATAATAACAACTCCTCCGTAGAGAACACGTTAGCACCCACCCCTAAATCAACATGCAAATATAGTCCACGCATGGAGCGAGGTAATTGGCTGGTTGGGTAGAGTGATGAGATTTCTGGCACGTGGAAAAGCTCAGTGATTGGTTAAAGTGATCAGGGTTGTCACACAAAAGCCACACAGGTGCATGAAGAGTGTATGAGAGGGGGAAGAAGAAAGGTGTTTGTGAAAATGTTTAGTCTGAGAGGGGTGCAAGTTACCAAGATGGACACATGGGTAGAGAGCAGTGCCAAGGCATGCCTCTTTCCATGACAGAGACTCTTACCTCACAAGGTTACACATCCCAAAAACAGAAGGGAGAAAAAACAAAGGTAAACAAAACAGAATGGGTATAAAGCAGTGGTATTCAAACCTTTTCAGCGAGGACCCCATTTTTTTACGCCAGAATTTCCTAAATAATTCCTTGCGAACCCACCCCATTACAAATCTAATGACACAACCTTAAAAAAATCTGTACATTTCTATTACTACATTAACAAATAACCTTCAACTCATAGCATTTTTATCTCATCAAAATGAAAATAAACCAATAAATACATACTCAATAACATCTTTCTCATAAAAGTTTGTATATTGATCCCATATAATATGTTTTTTTATTTTTGGGCTGACCCCATAAAGGGTCGCGACCCCGACTTTGAATACCACTGGTGTAAAGTCTTGCTCTGAGCAAAAAAAGCATTGGCTATATGGAATGAAAATTGAAAACAATGTACTTTTTAAAATAAATATTTTCTGGTAACAAGAGAACCAACGTCTTGACAGGGAGAGAGAGATTAAACAATGTGTTTTTCTTGCCTGAACACAGTACTCTGTTTAAATTGCCCAAATAAATACAAGGAAGCAGGAGAAAGTGAAGTCCACATCTTTCCTCCAGTAGCCACTCTGATTCAGAGGGGTTGGGTTAAATGCAGAATACATTTTGTTTGAATGCATTCAGTTGTGCAACTGACTAGGTATCCCCTTTCCTTTCACCTCCCTTTCACTAATCACCCTGAGAGAGAATTAATAGTTTCAGCTAACAGACAAAATATTAAAGTATTGCCCTTTAAGAGGCCCAGATTGTCTGAACCACATTGATCAGCATCGCCCCGCTGGTCTCCAGGCAGTCTCTATTGATATCAACTGAGAGCAGGCTGATAGTGGTCGTTTTAAAGGCCAGCGTATTCATCCTGGAGTTCTCCCCTACAACTCATGTCACTTTCACATTTTGTCGCTCCATACACTCTCATGCGTTATTCTCCTTGTTCCTCTCTCACTCTATCAGTCCTTTCTTTAACACCTGCTCCTCTCTCCCTCATTTCTCTCCCCATTGATTTCCTCAAGTGTTTTGGTGAAATAATACATCCAGCAGCATTATTAAGCAGCAGCTGATGGAGAATTCTAAATATTGATCTGGTGAGAGAGCGAGAGAAAGAGAGGAGAGAGGGGAGAAATAAAAACAGATATATAGAGCCAAAAGAGAGACCTTGAAAGAAACTACAATACAGTAGGTAGATGCATCTTACCTGAGAAGTTGCGTGTGGCCAGCATGGTGGTGAGAATAGCACCCTGAGGAAGAAAAAAGGAACAGTGAGTTGAACGACTGACCGCCAAGGCTTTAATACTTGTCACACTGTCACCTCATCTCTAACACGGTGTCAAACATTAGGTGGAAAGGTAATGATTGGATTACATAGTGCACAGGGTCCACTCTATGACACGCATGGGCTCGGATTTAGTCAATTTGTCACTTTCTCAATGTCTCACTCACGAAACCTGGTGAAGTGCTGTGAAAAACCTTCCCTCACCTTGAGTTTCCTCCTGGCGTTGAACTTCCTCAGGCACTCCACCGTCTCCTGTCTGTGCATCATGGACGCCACAGTGGAACGTTGCTGCAGAGAGGACAGAGAGAGAGGGGGAGAATGTTTTAAGTCTGTAGGTGTGCTCATCGGACCATTGGACTGTGTGTATGAGTGTGTGTGTGTGGACGTGTTTATCTATTCTTGTGGGGACCAGAAGTTCCCACAAGAATAGTAAACTAACAAAAAATTGACCAACTGGGGACATTTTGTTAGTCCCCACAAGGTCAAATGCTATTTCTAGGGGGTTTAGGGTTAAGGTTAGAATTAGTGTTAGGGTTAGAAATACGTTAAGGGTTAGGGTTAGGAGCTAGGGTTAGGGTTAAGGTTAGGGGTAGGATTAGGGTAAGGGTAAGAGTACGGGTTAGGGAAAATAGGATTTTGAATGGGACTGAATTGTGTTTCCCCACAAGGTTAGCTGTACAAGACTGTGTGTGTGTGTGTGTGTGTATGTGTGTGTGTGTGTGTGAGAAAGACACGTACACAGATCCAGGGGTGTTTGAGTGCGTCTGTGGCGGTGACCCTCTTGACAGGGTTGATGGTCAACATCTTGTTAATCAGGTCTTTGGCCTCGGGGGTCACCGTGTCCCACTCAGGGGACGGAAACTGAAGGGGAGAACATCGAGAGAGGCAATGAGGCTCATCATCCATCAGTCCATCCATCCATTCATCTATCCTCCCATCCCTCACTCACTCTTTCCCTCCCTCCATTCAGCTTTGTTTGAAAATGTGTCCTTGGAGAAACAAGGACAGCGAGAGAACTGGCAAAAAAAAACATCACACGGTTGACAAAAAAACAGATTCACTGAGCAGAAGGTGCTCGTCTCCAGAGCCAAGTTGGGCTTGAGCCATCGCATTGGGCTGTCCCCCTGCCTCTCTCCTCCTCCTCCTCCTCCTCCTCCTCTCTCGTCCTAAGACTCAATCTGTCTGGGACAGGCGTTAGGATTGACTGGGGAGAGCAGGGAGAGAGCTGCCAGACAAGGAGGAAATAGACAAACAGCCTTTGTGTGGTGTTCCAACAGAGGCAATGCTCAGCCAATAGACAGAGACTGGAATTCTGATGTGTCAAGTATGGCCTTGTCTCGGGTTGAAATCAAGTGGCTAACACATTTCCTTCAAGATAAACATGTTCCATTCCAGTCACTCAAAACAGGAGATTAGCTTTGCCTGCTAAAGTTAAATGATTGTGGTCAAAGTCTCAGAAACAGTGAGGGGATGGGAGGTTTCGGTATCGATCTAAGCAAGCCTGCCTTAACCTCATGTAAAGACTGTCAGATAACAACCATGGAAATCAACTCCAGTGATACCTAGTGGTGTAAAGTACTACTTAAGTCGTTTTTTGGGGTATCTGTACTTTACTATTTATATTTTTGACAACTTTTACTTCACAACATTTCTAAACATTTCTAAAGAAAATAATGTAATTTTTACTCCATACAATTTCCCTGACACCCAAAAGTACTTGTTACATTTTGAATGCTTAGCTGGACAGGAAAACGGTCCAATTCACGCACTTATCAAGAGAACATCCTTGGTCGTCCGTACTGCTTCTGATCTGGCAAACTCGCTAAACACCAATGCTTTGTTTGTAACTTATGTCTGAGTGTTGGCGCGTACCCCTGGCTATCCATAAATAAATAAAAAAACAAGAATATGTTGCTGTGTGGTTTGCTTAATATAAGGAATTTGAAATAATGTATACTTTTGAAACTTAAGTATATTTAAAACCAAACACTTTGACTTTTACTCAATCGTATTTTACTGGGTGACTTTCACTTGAGTCGTTTTCTATTAATGTATCTTTACTTTTACTCAAGTATGACAATTGGGTACCTTTTCCACCACTGGTGATACCTTATGCCAGTGAGACTCTCCACAGTAAGTATTAAACACTGCTGACAGATTGGCAAATGGATCAATTTGTCTGTGTGAAAGCACGTGCATGACAGAGTATGTGTCGTGTGAGTACTCACATCGTAGGCCCCAGCCTTGATCTGCTGGTACAGTCTGTGCTGGTCCTCGTCCCAGAAGGGAGGGTAGCCCACCAGGAGAATGTAGAGAATCACACCTGATGAGACAGACACAAACATGTAATTAGCACGATACCAATTATGAATAAATGTCATTTCAAAATTATACTCAAAACTCAGCAAGAGGAGAAAGTACAATCAAAGCCAGTATGACCCAATAATATCTGAGTAATGACCTTTACTGACTTAATCAGAGTATGTGAGTGCCGCTCATCGTTCCACGTCCTTTCCAACCGCTCCACTAAAAACCGCTCCTCACCCCCCCCCCCCCCCCCCACAAAAAAACAGCAGCTCCAAATTCGACTCCATTCATTAAAAATCACAATTTAACCAACACCCATCTATTTTTGTGACTACCTGGACCTACCATTTGGTTTTGAAGTATTGAAACCAAACCATATGATTTCCTGTTTATTAAAAAGTATTTTAATAAACAGGAAAATGTGACTATGATGCTACATGTCGTATTAAACAGCATATAAACACTAAATAGGTCAGGAGCCAGACAGATAGGAGGAACGGAAATGAATTATTTAGGCTATATTATTTCAATTATTTCAAGGCTATAGCCTACAAAGAAATTAATTGCGAAGCATTTAAATTTGAAGGTAATATGCCAGGCCTATTCAATGGTGGCATATTGTATAGATAATAGAACGAAATTTAATGAATGAAACTTTTAAGAGATCTGATTTTTGGTACTATAAATACTTTGCTACAATGACACACTTAGCTAGCTACCCAACTCGTTCCTTTCTGTTAGCATGTGCACGTAGTAAGTACACCATCATGCTTTCGTGATACCCGTCTTTTCAGATTCCAAAATGATTATTTAGTTGTGGACACTACATCACCACACTCCCTCTCTTGCTCTTGATCCTCCTCATCTTTGTAAGTCACCTTGATTTTTCACCTGTGCGTTTCTTTATGAAAATATTTAGCATACTAAATGACAGTAGCTAAAGCAAGGGGCTATAGCAGCACACAAGTAGACTACAAATGCATGCTGGGCCGGGCATGCCCTGAGCTCGTGAAGTGAGCGCTACTGGAGCCGACGCTCCAGATTTTGGGAACCTCGCTCCACGCTCCAGTCAAATTGGGCACACTCCACTCCTCGCTCCAGCTCCGCTCACATACTCTGGACTTAATACAAGTTTTAACAGCTTTCATTGTTACACGGATGAAGAGATCAGGAGAGGACAGAAAAGTACCCCCTCTTCATAGACTCCTCCCACTATAAGGGTTTCCATCATGTCACTATCACTGTGGTGACAAAAACAAGCCAAGCACTTCAGCACTGTGTTGCTCATTGGCTGGTAGGTTACCGGGACAAGCTCAAGGGCCCTTGGTTGGTCAGTAGAGCACTCCAACGACACAAATAAGTCATTGTGGCCCAGAATTCAGAGAGCACAGGTTGTGAATGAGTGTGTGGTAGACATCTAAAGCCCAGCTGGCCCTTGATGAGTTTATGTAACGAGCGGCTGCAGTGATTAATTCAAGGAGTGTGAACTAGATGAACTCATTGTCTGTGTGAGAGCCATGTAGGCACTTTGTAGTCAGTACTAGCCTTTTGCTCAAAGGCAAATAGATTGTTCCATGTTGGGAAGTTCCTTACCACAGGCCCACATGTCCACAGGTTTCCCATAGGGGTCTTTCCTCAGGACCTCTGGGGACAGGTAGCCTGGGGTTCCCGCAAAACCTGGAACAGAGACGAGACGTCATATAAATGAACTACATTTCCCAAGATGCATGTGCACTTACATCCCACTGTTTTTTGTATTTATTAGGATCCCCATTAGCTGCTGAAAAGGCAGCAGCTACTCTTCCTGGAGTACAAACAATAATAAAACAATACATCATAGTAAAACAATAGCCTGCTCGACATTGTGAATTATACATATGTACATTGCTCCAATACCACAAATGTACAGTATTAAATGCACATTAAAATACAACATTACAATATTACAATGTGTGGGTCTGTGTAGAGTGTGTGTGTTAGAGTGTGTGTGCGTATGCGCATGTGTACATGTCTCTTCACAGTCCGCGCTGTGCTGTGAGGTGTTGGTTTATCCGTTTTTTAAAATGTTACTGCTCGACTGAGTTATGTGGAAGAGTGTTCCATGTAGTCATGGCTGTATGTAGTACTGTGTGTTCCCCAGAGTCTGTTATGGACTTGGGGACTGTGAAGAGACCACCGGTGGCATATCTAGTGGGGTATGTATGGGTGTCTGACCTGTAGGTTAGCTGTTCGAACAGAAAGTTCGGGGCTTTCAACACGCCAATACCTCTTCACAAAGACAAGTAGTGATGCAGTCAATCTCTCCTCTACTTTGAGCCAGGAGAGATTGACATGCATATTATATTAGCCCTCAGTGCACACATTTTAAGGGCCAGCTGTGCTGCTCTGTTCTGGGCCAACTGTAATTTGCCTATGTCCGTCTTTGTGGCACTTGACAATATAAATGAGCAGTAGTCCAGGTGTGGTAAAACTAGGACCTGTAGGACTTGTTTTCTCGATTGTGATGTCAAGAAAGCAGAGCAGAGCTTTATCACAGACAGACCTCTCCCCATCAATATGTTTTGACCATGTCAGTTTAAAATCTAGGGTTACAGTAAGCAGTTTAGTCTCCTCAACTTCCTCAATTGCCAGATTCATTACAAGATGTGGATAAGGTTTAGGGTTTAGCGAATGATTATATAATTTAGGACTATCTTATTACTAGCCACCCATTCTAAAACTGACAGCAGTGCTTTGTTAAGGGTTGCTGTGATTTCACTTGCTGTGGTAGCTGACGTGTATAGTTTTGAGTCATCAGCATACATAGACACACTTTACTCAAGGCTAGTGGTAGATCATTAGTAAAAATAGAAAAAAGGGGGCCAAGACAGCTACCTTGAGGTATGCCAAAATTGACCGGGTTTACATTAGAGAGGCTTCCATTAGGTAACTCTCCATCCATGATATGGCAGAGGATGTAAAGCTATAACAGTCTGCTGCTGAAAAAACTATGATCGCTAATTTCAAAAGCTGCACTGAAGTCTAACAAAACAGCTCCCAAAATCGTATTACCAATTTCTTTCAGCCAATCATCAGTAATTTGTGTCAGTGCCATACATGTTGAGTCCCTTTCCCTATAAGCGTGCTGAAAGTCATTTGTTTACTGTGAAATGGCATTGTATATCGTCAAACACCATTTTTCCAAAAGTTTACTAAGGGTCAGTAGCAGATTGGGAGTCCCATAGTGCGGCGCACAATTGACCTAGCATCATCCAGGTTTGGCCGGGGTAGCCCGTCATTGTAAATAAGAATTTGTTCTTAACTGACTTGCCTAGTTAAATAAAGGTAAAATAAAAATTCATTACACACAACAGACCAGCAAATATTATACATCTTCAACATAGGAATCACTAAAAAATATACACTATTTAAGCCCAGCCTTTGGAACTTTGTTTTTTTCTAGATATGGCTACTATATTATGATCACTACATCCGATGGATCTGGATACTGCTTTAGAGCAGATTTTTGCAGCATCAGTAAAGATGTGATCAATACATTTGGATGATTTCATTCCTGTGCTGTTTGTATATACCCTGGTAGGTTGACTGATAACTTGAACCAGATTGCAGGCACTGGTTACAGGTTGAAGCTTTTTTTGAGACAGTTTGATGAAAACCTGTCAGTATTTAGGTCACCCAGAAAATATACTTCTGATGACATTACATACACCAGGGCTATTCAACTTCTAAAGCTTGTGTGGCCCGTTTTTTAATTTAGACTGTCCCTTTGATCAATTCAGAACATTAATTCAAGATCTGCACAAAAAAAAAGCCAAATCCGACATTCAGTGCCAAAATGACAAGCACAATTGTGGTTGTCTATAGTGTCAGTAGTTCAAAATACGATGGAAACCCATTTCACTTGTATTTTTTAAATTGAGTACATGGGGAATTTAACCACAGAAGTTATTTTTATGTGCACTACGTCACCACACACAACCTTTTATCGGCAACAAGTCAATTTGATGGAAACATCTCTGGTCCCCTGTAGCTCAGTTGGTAGAGCATGGCGCTTGCAACGCCAGGGTTGTGGGTTCGTTTCATACGGGGAGCCAGTATGAAAAATGTATGCACTCACTAAGTCGCTCTGGATAAGAGCGTCTGCTAAATGACTAAAATGTCAAATGTAAATGGTGGGAAAATGTGCATTTTGTTTTCATGCAGAGTTTTGAATATTCGCATGAAAATCTGTCGCCAATTGGACAGAAACCTAGCTCTTTACTCAATTAGCCCATGTGAGCAACATTGGTTTTGATTGGTAAATTAGTCTAGCCAGCCATCTAAACTTTTAGTAATCATGGTCGAATTACGGACCGGGGGGATCCATTGATTTTGTAAGTCACTCGCCCTCAGACATCATATTAACATGGCATAAGTCAGGGCAAAATGTGTAGAATTTCAGGACATTTGCTGTAAAACTGCTAACATTTCTCTCCATCCTATGTCAAAATGTGTAGAATTGCAGGAAATCTGCTGTAAAACTGCAAATATTTCTCCCCGACACATGGCAAAATGAGTAGAATTGCATGAAATGCATTATAAAATTGCTAAATCTTCTCCACCCCATGGGAAAACATGTAGAGTCGCATCAAACTTGCTAGAAAACTGAAACATTATCTCTACTCCCCTTGGCAAAGTGTAGAATTGTAGGAAATTAACTAAAACTTTTTTTCCCACTCTCCGCTGTCAAGAGAGGGGCCGCTAAAATGTTTTGATCACAAGGTAGAATGCGGGCTTCCAACAAAATGTTGCTTAGGGCCCCCAACCGTCTAGGGACGGCTCTGACTGCATGTGTGGGTATGGATGTGGGTACGCAGACCCACGAGCCACTACGGCCCTTCATGATAAATTCAGATATTTTGTTGCCCACACCCCCATCAAAGTTGCCAAAGCATGCCAGTTTGTAGTCCTAAAATCCAGAAATGAGTTACATCTGGTTTGTGCAGCCATCCCTATAGGGAAGAAATATGGTTTAGGGAAAAACGCAGAAAATAAGGTCTGAGGTTAACACAGGCTTAGGAGATCTTAAATGTTTTGTTCTACACTGAGAACACCTGCTCTTTCCATGACAGACTGACCAGGTGAACGCTATGATCCCTTATTGATCCACTTTAATCAGTGTAGATGAAGGGGAGGAGACAGGTAAAAAAAATATTTTTAAGCCTTGAGATAATTGAGAAATGGATTGTGTATGTGTGCCATTCACAGGGTGAATGGGCAAGACAAAACATTTACATTACATTTTAGTCATTTAGCAGACGCTCTTATCCAGAGCGACTTACAGTTAGTGAATACATATATATTTTTTTTTTATACTGGCCCCCCGTGGGAATCGAACCCACAACCCTGGCATTGCAAACGCCATGCTCTATCAACTGAGCTACATCCCTGCCGGCCATTCCCTCCCCTACCCTGGACAACGGTGGGCCAATTGTGCGTCGCCCATGAGTCTCCCGGTCGCGGCCGGCTGCGACAGAGCCTGGATTCGAACCAGGATCTCTAGTGGCACAGTTAGCACTGCGATGCAGTGCCTTAGACCACTGCGCCACTCAGGAGCCACAAAGATTTAAGTGCCTTTGAACGGGGTATGGTAGTAGGTGCCAGGCTCACTGGTTTGTGTCAAGAACTGCAATGCTGCTGGGTTTTTCACACTCAACAGTTTCCTGTGTGTATCAAGAATGGTCCACCACCCAAAGGACATACAGCCAACTTGACACAACTGTGGAATGCATTGGAGTCAACATGGGCCAGCATCACTGTCGAATGCTTTCGACACCTTGTAGAGTCCATGCCTTGACGAATTGAGGCTGTTCTGACAGAAAAAAATGTGGTGCATCTCAAAAAGTAATGTTTGCTGATGAAGATAATCTCATAGAACAAAACGTCTACCATTTCTACGGGACTTTCCATGTCCTCTGTTGCTGATTATGACAGGTAGGATTGGAGCACAAATACACCCAGGCCGTCAGGCTCTAAAACCGTTCGCAATGTTGCTGGAGACAATCCTGGAATCCCTGTGGTTAGGGTGAATCCTGTCTCTTTTAAGAGACAGCCAATTAGAGGTCAAATTAATCCTTAATGCAATGTTTATGGGACATGATTAACAAGCTTCCAAAACTTCCCCACTGGAACGACCCTCTGGGGAACATAGTGTGGCTCCCCACCAGTGGAATGCAGCCTACTTCTCTAAAGAACTAAAATTCTCAGCATGCCCTGGGGCACCACCAGTGAACTGGGTAGATGATTCTCAGGTGACAGCCAGTCCAGGGGATTAGGATAATTATTCCCCCATTCTGTGGGGATTAGCAGGGAAATGGCCCTGTTTCTCCACCTAATAAAATCTGCACTATTAAACCCAGAGAGCTGACACACCTCAAAGTCTCACCTCTCACACATTAACTAGGTGACTTAGCTTCAGCACTGGTGGTGGAGCCTTGGGTTTAAAGACAAAGTAAACACCAAAGTACTTCTAAAGCTTCTGTGGCTTTAGATATTGTTTAGAATAAAACAGGGTCTGTAAAGCACAGTAAATGCTTAGTTACACACTGGGGCTACATAGTATACATTTTTACATTTTAGTCATTTAGCAGACGCTCTTATCCAGAGCAATTTACAGGTGCAATTAGGGTTAAGTGCCTTGCTCAAGGGCACATCGACAGATTTTTCACCTATTCGGCTCGGGATTAGAACCAGTGACCTTTCGGTTACTGGCACAACGCTCTTAACCACTAAGCTACCTGTATACAACAACACATTTCATAGTGTGAAAATATATATAAAACACAGGAATGTCACATTTTTGACTGCACTGGGCCTTTCAAGTATTGCTAAATTAGGGCAAGAAAACGGGTCCACTGAACAGGCTTCCTGTGCATTTATCAGTTTTGAGTATTGGGTGAAACGTTTTTTTAAATGACCACTTATACCTGAAATTGGCACCAAAGCTATTTATTTTAATTTTTTTAATGGATACATTTCTACCGTAAAATGAGCTAGAGAAAGAGTTCTCTTCAAACAGGTGAGGCCATTTTTGATTGTATAATCCTGTCGGAATTCTAGCATATTTTAGTGTAGAGAAACGTAAGTCATATTTACAACTTTTTAAATCGCGTTGGTGCAGATTTCAGGTGTAAGAGATTGGAATAATACTGTGAAAATTATGATAATGCTTTTTAGTGTAAGAGCTATTTGAAAAGACCACCTGCAATTTCAGCCAGGCAGTAAATTACCAGGCAGTAAATGAATTAGACTAATAAGAAAGAGAGTTCCAAACCGTTCTGCCAATAACAGCAAGTTTTCCCCTCCCCACTCAGACCACTCCCAGTCCTAGCAAAATTCTTGCTTGAAAAATTGCCCTTTGCTAAGAAGCTATTTGTTCATTTTTTTGTACCATTTTAATTCACAGTAAGGTAATTAATTGTTACCCAGAAATTATTTGATATTTAAATAAAAACGGCTGCATTGGACATGTAAAACAAGTCTTCAAATGGACAGCCAAGTTTGGGATCCTTGGTGATATTTGAACAGATGTTTTGTGACTGACTGGTACTCACCGAACCATGCCTGCTGGTCTCCCTGCACTTCGATGGCCAGACCAAAGTCTGCCAACTTTACCGCTGCTCCCTTCAGCTTACTGGCTAGGAGCAGATTCTCAGGCTTGGAGTGGAGAGGGAGACACAGGATTTCAACACTTCTCATACAGCAATATACATGAAAATGAACTCTAGGAACATGTCCGCAATAATATATTATACAGTAGGTGTATTCTCTCTAGTATTTTGGGTGATATCCACACTGGGTTGTAAATCCTAGACGGTGGGTCATCTCACCATTGAAAAATTGTATGATCCCCACTATACACTATATATACACAAAAGTATGTGGACACTTTACATTAATGGATTCGGCTATTTCAGCCACACCCGTTGCTGACAGGTGTATAAAATCGAGCACACCGCCATGCAATCTCCATAGACAAACATTGGCAGTAGAATGGCCTTACTGAAGAGCTCAGCGACTTAGGATGCCACCTTTCCAACAAGTCAGTTCATCAAATGTCTACCCTGCTAGAGCTGCCCTGGTCAAGTGGAAATGTCTAGGAGCAACAACGGCTCAGCTGCGAAGTGGTAGGCCACACAAGCTCACAGAACGGGACCACCGAGTGCTGAAGTGCATAAAAATGGTCTGTCCTCGGTTGCAACACTCACTACTGAGTTCCAAACTGCCTCTGGAAGCAACGTCAGCACAATAACTGTTTGTCGGGAGCTTCATGAAATGGGTTTCCATTGCCAAGCAGCCGCACACAAGCCTAAGATCACCATGCGCAATGCCAAAAGTCGACTGGAGTGGTGTAAAGCTCGCCACCATTGGACTCCGGAGCATTGGAAAGGCGTTCTCTGGAGTGATAAATCACACTTCACCACCTGGCAGTTCGACGGATGAATCTGGGTTTGGCGAATGCCAGGAGAACGCTACCTGCCCGAATGCATAGTGCCAACTGAAAAGTTTGGTGGAGGAGGAATAATGGTCTGGGGCTGTTTTTCATGGTTCGGGCTAGGCCCCTTAGTTCCAGTGAAGGGAAATCTTAACGCTACAGCATACAATGACATTCTAGACGATTCTGTGCTTCCAACTTTGTGGCAACAGTTTGGGGCATGACAATGCCCCTGTGCACAAAGCCAGGTCCATACAGAAATGGTTTGTCGAGATCGGCGTGGAAGAAATTGACTGGCCTGCACAGAGCCCTGACCTCAACCCCATCGAACAACTTTGGGATGAATTGGAACACCGACTGAGAGCCAGGCCTAACCGCCCAACATCAGTGCCTGACCTCACTAACGCTCGTGGCTGAATGGAAGCAAGTCCCCGCAACAATGTTCCAACATCTAGTGGAAAGCCTTCCCAGAAGAGTAGAGGCTGTTATAGCAGCAAAGGGGGGACCAACTCCATATTATTAACGCCCATGATTTTGGAATGAGATGTTCGACGAGCAGGTGTCCACATACTTTTGGTAATGTAGTGTATGACCAAATTCCATTAACCAAAGTATATTTTGGCACATTACTATGGCAATCCCCTCTATAACCCATTCATAACTCCTCATCAGTACTGTGTAATAATAAACTCCATCGTGTCCCCTCCTGTGTCCCTGTGGGGCCGTGCATGTTCACCGTCACCAAGCTCACGCTCTAGAGGAACAGCTCTCTACGACTCAACGCTCTCACTCAACACACACTGGGGACAATTTTACACCACCTACACCAGTGTTGAGTAACAGGGTTGACACTGATACGGACACAGCAAGGACAGAGTGGACACAGCTTGATCTTCACAAAGATACATGAGAGTGTGTAATAAGCCACACGCAGTCAGGCTCCCGTTTAGCCCGAGGGGCGGGGCTACAAGGTCTGAGGTCGACAGTGACTCATGCATAGGCCCCGTTGGAACAGGAAGGGGAGGGGCTTAGAGTACAGGTTACCCTGGGTTCTGGGTTGAGGAATAATGCATTTGCTGACATTTTCAAAGCGGCTTCTCTGAATCTTAACTGGAAATAATTCAGGAGAGGTAATGTATTAAACAGGAGATGTGAGCAGAAGCTGTTTCAGCTACTTTTTGGAGCGAAGCTGGTTTGCTTCTGGGGCAAATACATTAGTTACAGTACCTCATGAACTGTATGTCAGTGGACTAACCACTTCTATGGCCTAGATCAGTGGTCACCAACCTTTTCTGAGTCAAGATCACGGAGTCAAAATGAAAGACGAGATCTACCGTTTTTTTTTTTACATAACTTAAAATTACATAACTTAAAATGTAAGCCTATGCAACATTAACCAATTAAAAACAGTTCTGTAGCAGAGGTTTGTGCAGTAGGCTATAGGCCCAATACATTATCACTGCATATAGGCTATGCTTGAATTACTAGTGAGGCACAGCTGAGTGAGCATAATAATTGGCTTGAGTTTATTTTACTGGACTGATGGCCTGCATCTGATGGTCAGTCTGAGGAGAGGGAGGGAGCAGCAGTGAGGCTGCCTCTCAGGGCCCCAGCTGATGGCGAAACTCAAGTCGCACTGCATTTAATCTGCCTCATGCACCAATTCCTGTTGTTACTCCTATGACCAGAGAAAGTGAAATATTCCTCAATATTAAAAGAGACAAGCCGTTAATAATAACAGCGTATGATTATCGGAACACTTTGCTATACTCATTCATTGCAGCAGCAGTGCTGGTTGTAGCGTGAGTGGAAGTAGGGAGAACGCACATTTTATGGCGTATAAAAGTGTTGAACAAAGTGTTGACATTGCTGAATAACTTAAACATACAGCAGCTCTTTGCTGTATTCGTTGAGTCTCTCTCTAGTCATGGTTTTAAACGTTTTTAAATCTCACAGTATCAACTTTGCTGTGAGTTCAAGGTTTATTTTTACAGTCTGGAAACTGTGCAGCCAGCGGTAGGCCTATAGGTGCACGTGATTTATTCTCTGGGACTGCCGGGTAGGCGGAGTTCTACCTTCAGACACATGAAATGGTTCAAAATGGGAACACTGCCTTCCCGGCGCAGTGCACCTACCGCCAACAGCACAAAGAAAATAAGGAAATGTTTGGTAATCAACTAGTAATGCCTTGGAGATCGGCCAGTCGATAGCGATTAACCGGTTGGTGACCACTGGCCTAGATATTGCATATGGTGTAAAAAAAGCTAAAATAATCAATTCCTCAACATCATATAACATAAAATCAAACAGGGTAAATTCATGATCATTCATTGGTGCAGTTAGTAGAGCATTTGTGAGTTGTGATTCGTGATTCGTGCAGATCAGAGGGCAAAGACGGGGCTCACATGCTACGGTGGGAGGTGGGGTAAGTGCAGTCAACAGTGCCATGCAGTCATTGCAAACACCCCAACCAACCCAGCCTCCCTTCCCCACCAAAAAATCATGTAACCTGTGTGATGTGACTGGAAGGGGCCAGGTAAAAAAATAAAAAATACATCATCCTTATAGCATCAATCATATAGAGCAGGGGTACTCAACTCTTACCCTACGAGGTCCGGAGCCTGCTGGTTTTCTGTTCTATCTGATAATTAATTGCACACACCTGGTGTCCCAGGTCTAAATCAGTCCCTGGTTAGAGGGGAACAATGAAAAAATGCAGTGGAACTGGCTTTGAGGTCCAGAGTTGAGTTTGAGGGCTATAGAGTCTTCCCTATAACACATAATCCCTAATGAGCTTGATATAATGTTCTTCATAACCAAATAGGTATTATGAAAACTCAATATGACTAACAATCCCTAAATAGGCTGATCAATACGTTGTAATCTAATCTAGAAGCACATATGAGAGCTATAGTCCATAGCCAGTATATCTTTCAGGACTGGGTAAATTAATTGTGGTGTGTACTGGGTAAATTAATTGTGGTGTGTACTGGGTAAATTAATTGTGGTGTGTTTCTGTGTGTGGATCCTATCTAGCTCACTGTGATCAGGATTTATGCCCGGTCCTCAGGGCTCCTGTGTAATGGGTCTAATTTAATTCAGGTCTCGCAGCCATAAAGATGTAATTATTACTCCACATTCATCTAGCCTGGGTGGCCTTACTGTAGCTACTGCAACCGGGAAAGATGCACTTGGCTTTCAGTCACACACACACACACAACGCTGGCAAATGCACACACACACGCATTCCCGCATGCAGCCGTCTACCCTTGTGCATATCTCTCACTTACTATTCCTCAATCTCCTAGCTACATCTGTCTCAATCTCTTGTCTTCAGGGATTTAAACCAGTGGCTTGGTATCTAAACCTAGAGGGAGCGGGGAATCTACAGGAGGGCAGCGGAGAGAGAGAGAGGACAGGGACAGCCCTGGTCTCTAATGCAGTCATCCAGACCAGCATCATCCAGAGTGGCCTGGCCGTGTGGACAGACAGAGGAAGAGAGAGCAGCAGCGTCAGTGATTAGAGCAGCAGGGAGAAAGAGGAAGAGGAGGAGGGGAGATTGGACAGAGGGAATGAAGGAGGACAAGAGGGAAGAGTTCAGTTAAGGGTGAAAGGAAAAAAAGAAGGGAAGAGGAGTGAAAGAAAGAGGGAAGAGGCATGAAAAAAGAGATGGACAGATGAGCAGGGATAATGAGACGGAAATGAGGAGGTAGAGCTGAACAGAGTGCCGTCAGAAGTCAATGAGTCTTGAAGGAACAGCTTGAGAGGGATGTCTGTTCTGATGCAGTCAGTCTGTGTGTGGTCTGGTGGAAACAGTCTAGAGTGCCAACCGCTTAACTGTGTCCACCTAAATTTAGTTTGGTTGGATACAATGGTACTGTTCAGTACGATTACAGTGTGTCTTGTCAAAATTACTATATGCATGAGTGTGTGTGAGTGTGTGTGTGTGTCAATATGGGTCCTCCCCCAACACACACGTACACACACTCACACGTAGGTCACACCAGTCTGAAGATATGGCCTTTCATCGGCCTCTTTCATGCTTTGTTTTGTTCATATTTCTTTTGTTTTTGTCGATTCCGCCACTCCCCATGGTAACAAGCCGGTAGCAGCCAATCAGAGCAATGCCAGAGAGGGCCTAGGCGAATGCAAACGTGGGGTGATTATTTCAGGAGTGAAATGGAGCTCCTGGCTGCACCTGGCTCATTTGATTAGCAAATTTGAGTTCTGAAACTTGCCATGACGGCAATGACGGGGACGTGGGGAGTTTGGGAGATTGGAGAAGGAGTGTATAACAGGGTTGTTCCATGAAATGAGTGGCTTTTGATATTTTAAGTAAAAATTGTGCACCAATATAGATTTTTAAAAGCCTGTTATGTTCAATGAAATGCCCTTTAATATAAACCACATGAAGAATTCAATAAATCCCAATTTTTTATATGAATAAAGACTTGCTAAAGTAAGAAAAAATCTGCATTTTGACATGTCCCTCTGTGCACCCTCTGACTTCCAGGAAGATTTTGTCCCACTTAAACCCAATATTTCTCAAAGTTTTCACCATAATTGTAAAGCCCTAGTTATTGTGTTGCTTTGACAGTCATTTCTGAAGATTATTATTTATTTCATGTGATTAGTGATTCAAACCTGTCCCTCATTTTAAGGTCAACCCTGTTATGTGAACTGAACTCTTTTTTGAATATGGTGAAACTACTATTCCTTTTAAAATAGTAAAATCATTGTGTAAAAGCAGGTGAGCTGGTTCTACTATTTTTGGCCATTTTCTGGTATTTTCTGGTGTAACACTGAGCAGGTCACGCATAACACGTCAACCCTGTTACCCATAGATAGACAGGCTAGAAATGGTTTAACAATTTACATTTTTTTGTGAAGCTTGCATTCAAATTGCCCCTCCTGTTGCACACAACAAGCTTCCATTCCCCCTGCCACAAGGGGATTTATAGCGGATTTAAGATGAAATCGCAACCCTGTTACTTTATTTGGCACCTAATAAGCACTTAATAGTATTTTTGTTATTTAGCCTCGAGATGGGGAAACTTGTTTTTTTATTAAGTTGAACATTTGCTCTTTGTGACAGAATTTAAAAATTCAAAAGTATTTGTTTATTTTATACCAAGTTACACATCTCAAAAGGCACCGAATTGGTGGAAAGACCCAACAATGGCAAGTCTCCAAATTCTACTTGGACAATGTGACATTTTTACTTCACTCATCCCATTTTCTCCTGCCACGTTTTCTTTTTTTAGCAAGGCCTGATTTTATACACCATTTAATTGGAGGGATTGCAGGTCCTATTTCCGTGCCTATTAACACCTGTGTCACTGTTCTGTAGACCAACACAGTGCCTCAGTAGAGGTGTGGACGTAAAAGGTCAACATGCCTTTCCAAAAGTCCCAAATAAGTAATTACTATTTAGTAATAGTAATGACTATTTCATCAGCTTTTAACTGGCTGAGCAATCACTAATGCAGTGGAAAAGTTCAAACTCATAATTTGACCCTGTGGCTCCCATGTCTCATGTCTCAACTGAACAAGACGTGTCGGAGACAGTCTATCAAAGTGCTTAACCCTCAAAGTCAAACGGATGAGTCTGAAAGTCAGTCAGGATGATTGGGTCTCCCTGCAACTAGAAGAGTTGGAGTGAGAGGAAGAAGAGGAGGAGGAAGAGGAGGAGGAAGAAGAAGAAGAGGAAGGGCTGTGTTTGGCTTCCCAGTGTCTCTACTCACCTTCAGGTCGCGGTGGACCACGCCCATCTGGTGGCAGTGGAGCACGGCCTCTAGGATCTGCTGAATGCAATGACTGCATGCAAACACCAGGGGGCGTGGGTTAGTGACAAGCTCACACTCACTGTGTGCCATGCGCTCACCTTGAGACTGGGGGGGGGGGGGGGGGGGGGCAGCAGTGGTGGTGGAGGTGGTGATTGGGATGATGTTTAGGCCAATGATTTGTTAATATCCCTCCAACTACCACCCCTATAACACTAGTACCCCAGTGTAGAGCCAATGTATTAACCCAATTGAATGTGATTGCCTTGACTATAAGATGAAGGAAAGGTTGTAGATGTTCTAATAAGTGAATGCAGAATAAGTTAGACAAAAGTGTGTTCTGATTGGACCATTAAGAACAAGGATATCTGGCTATGACATCATCACCCACCACCCCCACCCACTGTCCCCCCGGGTCTCAAAACAGAAGTGGTGTTAGCTCCCCGCTGGCTGTGAGCTCGACCCTGGGGAGGGCGAGGAGGGAGGAGGTGGATGAATTGATCCTATTTATACCCCTCTTAAACCAGAGGGGCTTATCAAATACGCCCAAGACCCAGGCTCACAGCAGGCGTTCAGAGCAGAGAGACGAGGACCGGAGAGAGACGCTACATGCACATCGTCTTTGGGCATACAATGGAGGGCAAGGTTGAGCTGTGTCACCCTCCCCCCCTCACCACCCTGCCGCCCACGCCCCCTGGTGGGCCACCTGACCTCAGCCACAAGTAGTGATTGGTGGAGGGGTCAGGGTGGCTGCTGGTAGGGGATTGAGTTTGGAAGAGAGGAAGAGGCAAGCGGCTGGTGGGGGTACAGGGTGAGGGGGGGTTGGTGGTTGTTAATTGGTGGTGGATTTTGGGCGGCGGGTGGGCAGGCGGGCATGGTGCCAGCATAGCCTCTGTTGTGTACTAACCTTCATGTCCCTGTGAACTATACCACTTTGGTGACAATGATTTACACTTTCTAGAATCTGCTGTATGCATTGGCTGTGGAGGAGAGAGACAAGGCCAGAAGAAGCGAGGAGGAGAGAACACACATCAGAAAAAAAATACAAAAAACAGCAACAAAAACGAGAAAGGCCAGTGAAACTATAATAATATCAAAAGTAAAAACTCAAGAGAGAAGTAGAGTAAAGTTCACATTTTGTTCTACCACTTAATCTTTTGGAAAGTGATAATGCTATTTCGGTCACAAGAATGCTAATTGGCTTTCAATGCCAGAAATGACAAAAGGACTGAATCTTTTAACAGTCTTACTTTAAACTGAACATTCTTTTTTGGAATGAGTAGAAACAGCCAGATTAAAATTATATGATTTCAAACTCAGGTCATTGTTTATTAATGAAGTATGCTATACAGGAAGAAATAGATCTGCAGACGGCAGCCTCGTTTTAGGAGAGCAACAGAAAAACTGAAGAAAAACAGATGACAGAAGATTATATTCATAAGATACATTACAGACAGCACACACAGATATATAATACAGATACTATAAACACTATTACTAAACTACAGTAACAAAGAGAAGGAGGGTGCATGCAGTAACACACATATAGATTGTGTGTGTGTGTGTGTGTGTGTGTGTGTGTGTGTGTGTGTGTGTGTGTGTGTGTGTGTGTGTGTGTGTGTGTGTGTGTGCACATGTAATGTGTTATGTAGAGGCAGTAACTGGTGTCATTTTAAAACCTATCTTAAACTCTAATGATGAAAAATCCTCTAAGTCTATTGTATACAACTAAGTGAACTAGAATGTGTGCTTTCAGATCCACTGACATGTGTTTGACTAGACCAATAACATAGTTGCTGTTAAGTGAATCTGTGTGACACTGACCTGGCGTCTGCTTCGCTGTAGTACTCTCTGGCTACGATGTCCTCAAACAGCTCCCCACCAGTCACCCTGGGAAGAAAGGGGAATATGAGACGGGTTAATTCCATGCTAGAAGTTCGGAAAACAGTGGGAGACCCGGAGAACGGGGGTGCAATTAGCTATGCAAATCTGCCTTTCAGGCATCTTCGAGAAGGAGAGAAACAACATTTTTAGAGACACACAGAAAGATGTCACGATTTGGTCAAAACAATGAATATGCTTGTGCTTCCTGATCATTAGAATACCATTAGACACTCCTCCAATGGTGTTAGAATAAAACGTTTTGTTCACATACTAGATTGGAATGCATTCCTGTGTATTCCAGTGAGCTAAATGTCCCAAATCTTAAGCGTTATTCCAAGGAACTGGGCAACACAAGAGATGGGAATGTTTCATGTAACCACAACACTTGGATACTTGGATTGTGTTCAGAGTGCAACAAACCGCAGTCCATGTCCATTGGATTCTCGCAATGCTTTCAGTTTGTTCCATATAACATAGTAGTAAAAAGTGGTTGTTCATTGAATGAATGCATTAAAATAAAGGCAGCTGTATGTAATTTTTTTTAACCTTTATTCACGGTCAATGTAATTTGCCTCATTTGTTGTCATTCTTCTGGCCAGGTTTATTTGTGTAAAAGGAAAGAAAAGCTTTCATCCCTGCAATTCACTCATCTCAGCTGCCTAAGAGTGGCCCTTTTTCTTTTACAGCCCTTAGTCAAATTAAATGCAGCATTTTAAATAAATTAGGACTGATTTCCCTTTCCAGCTGCCAAATTAAACACTGCCAAACTGCTGCCAATACACGAGGGAGTGGTAGAGAGAGATCGAAAGATAGTGGAAGTAATGGGCAGAGAGCTGGATGGACTGTTGGAAAGAGCAAGGGAGAGTAGATGTAATGTTTTTCTTCTGGAGTGATATTGATGTGTGTGAACAAATGGTAAAATATGGATATAACATGCAATGATGTAGCATATGAAGAAACACAGAGACATTGTTGCTGGGGAGAGAGCTATATGTAAGGAACACTAATCAAATCAATCAGATCAAAAGGCTTTAATGTGACCTCACCAAGGGTAAACTCTGGGGCATTTATTGGCTTTAACTAGGGCCCAGAGTTTTTCTCTGTCGGGTCACATGTTCATGAAAATGCTCAGGGGCCTACTTATTGAACATAGGCCATCTCCATAGAGGACAGAGACTGGGATTTCCAGCCCACTTTGACATCTGTGGTGCATAAGGTCAGTTTTGGCATGCTGCCATTGGAAATAAACCCACGTGATCAACCAGTGGATTAACCTAGTAATCCTTAAAGGAGGAGATAGGCGTTTAGTCTATTTAGAATACCCTGTGGGGCAGTGGTATATTCCAATTCCTCACTACATCAGAGTCTATGAGAATACTAGACTGTTAGAGTAACTTACTCACAAGCACATCCCATTATACTTTGACTAGAGGGTGAGAAACTATGCAAAAAGAAAAAAGGACAACACACTTTCCTAGTATATACACCAGGTAAATACCAGTGGAAAAAGTACCGTAAAATAAAGTGCTGTCTACTGGTAGGAATAAGTGAAGAGTGTTTAAGTTCGGGGAGAGGATCCCATGCAGAGGAACATTAGGGGAAGAGGAGAAGGCTGGGGGTTCAGCTTTTAGCCCTCCTTAAAATAAGGACCATTCGCCCCGCAGTGTAGAGCAGGGACACAGCCTGGATGGCTGCACTGGTGTGGACGGCTGCACTGGCTGCACTGGTGTGGATGGCTGCACTGGCTGCACTGGTGTGGATGGCTGCACTGGCTGCACTGGTGTGGATGGCTGCACTGGCTGCACTGGTGTGGATGGCTGCACTGGCTGCACTGGTGTGGATGGCTGCACTGGCTGCACTGGTGTGGATGGCTGCACTGGCTGCACTGGTGTGGATGGCTCCACTGGCTGCACTGGTGTGGATGGCTGCACTAGTGTAAATGGCTGCACTGGCTGCACTAGTGCGGATGGCTGCACTGGCTGCACTAGTGCGCGCACGCACACGTTTTTATTGCCTTTGGGGCCACCTTTGACGCTGCCCACTTAGATTTCCATAAATATTAATCATGTAAATATCCATGGGGGTATGAGTCGAGCGATGCCTCAAAACTCTGCGTTGACACTTCTGAACAAACATACACATTTACAAAATATTCAAACCAACATTACCAATGCAAAACATTGTTCACAGACCAAAGTGTGTAGCTCATGAACTAATATGCAACTAATAACAACAAGATAACTAATGTAAAGCATACTGTGTCCATAATAAGTATATAGGTTATAGGTTGAGAGCTTTTGTGAAAGAGCACAGTTAGAAAGATAGGGCATTTAGAAGCAAACCGGATGGACATCATGAAAATGATCGGAGAGGTTGAGGGTAGAGGAAGTTCAGGAGTAAAAACAAACAAAATATCATTATTGTCAAATTGACTGTGTCCATAAAATGTATATAGTATGTATATAGTATGTATAAGCTGGAAGTAGAGTCCTAAGCGTTGTTGTTCACTAGTTTACTTCAATTAGAGGAGGGGTGGTGGGGCTGGAAAGTAATAAAGGGAAATATATCTTAAAAAATGATTACACACATTTTTTGTATTTTTATTTTATTTCACCTTTATTTAACCAGGTAAACCAGTTGAGAACAAGTTCTCATTTACAACTGCGACCTGGCCAAGATAGAGCAAAGCAGTGCGATAAAAACAACAACACAGAGTTACATATGGGGTAAAACAAAACAAAGTCAAAAATACAACAGAAATACATATAATATACAGTGTGTGCAAATTTAGCAAGTTATGGAGGTAAGGCAATAAAATAGGCTATAGTGCAAAATAATTACAATTAGTATTAACACTGGAATGATAGATGTGCAAGAGATGATGTGCAAATATAGATACTGGGGTACAAATGAGCAAAATGAATAACAATATAGGGATGAGGTAGTTGGGCGGGCTAATTTCAGATGGGCTGTGTACAGGTGCAGTGATCGGTAAGGTGCTCTGACAACTGATGCTTAAAGTTAGTGAGGGAGATAAGCGTCTCCAGCTTCAGAGATTTTTGCAATTTGTTCCAGTCATTGGCAGCAGAGAACTGGAAGGAATTGCGGCCAAAGGAGGTGTTGGCTTTGGGGATGACCAGTGAGATATACCCGCTGGAGCGCAGACTACGGGTGGGTGTTGCTATGGTGACCAATGAGCTAAGATAAGGCGGGGATTTGCCTAGCAGTGATTTATAGATGGCCTGGAGCCAGTGGGTTTGGCGACGAATATGTAGTGAGGACCAGCCAACAAGAGCGTACAGGTCACAGTGGTGGGTATTATATGGGGCTTTGGAGACAAAACGGATGGCACTGTGATAGACTACATCCAATTTGCTGAGTAGAGTGTTGGAGGCTATTTTGTAAATGACATCGCCGAAGTCAAGGATCGGTAGGATAGTCAGTTTTACGAGGGCATGTTTGGCAGCATGAGTGAAGGAGGCTTTGTTGCGAAATAGGAAACCGATTCTAGATTTAACTTTGGATTGGAGATCCTTAATGTGAGTCTGGAAGGAGAGTTTACAGTCTAACCAGACACCTAGATATTTGTAGTTGTCCACATACTCTAGGTCAGACCCGTCGAGAGTAGTGATTCTAGTCGGGTGGGCGGGTGCAAGCAGCGTTCGGTTGAAGAGCATGCATTTAGTTTTACTAGTGTTTAAGAGCAGTTGGAGGCTACTGAAGGAGTGTTGTATGGAATTGAAGCTCGTTTGGAGGTTTGTTAACACAGTGTCCAACGAAGGGCCAGATGTATACAAAATGGTGTCGTCTGCGTAGAGGTGGATCTGAGAGTCACCAGCAGCAAGAGCGACGTCATTGATATACACAGAGAAAAGAGTCGGCCCAAGAATTGAACCCTGTGGCACCCCCATAGAGACTGCCATAGGTCCAGACAACAGGCCCTCCGATTTGACACATTGAACTCTATCTGAGAAGTAGTTGGTGAACCAGGCGAGGCAGTCATTTGAGAAACCAAGGCTATTTAGTCTGCCAATAAGAATGCGGTGGTTGACAGAGTCGAAAGCCTTGGCCAGGTCAATGAAAACGGCTGCACAGTACTGTCTATTATCGATCGCGGTTATAATATCGTTTAGGACCTTGAGCGTGGCTGAAGTGCACCCATGACCAGCTCGGAAACCGGATTGCATAGCGGAGAAGGTACGGTGGGATTCGAAATGGTCGGTGATCTGTTTGTTGACTTGGCTTTCAAAAACTTTTGAAAGGCAGGGCAGGATGGATATGGGTCTGTAACAGTTTGGATCTAGAGTGTCACCCCCTTTGAAGAGGGGGATGACCGCGGCAGCTTTCCAATCTCTGGGGATCTCAGACGTTACGAAAGAGAGGTTGAACAGGCTAGTAATAGGGGTTGCGACAATTTCGGCAGCTAGTTTTAGAAAGAAAGGGTCCAGATTGTCTAGCCCAGATGATTTGTAGGGGTCCAGATTTTGCAGCTCTTTTAGAACATCAGCTGTCTGGATTTGTGTGAAGGAGAAGCGGGGGGGGGCATGGGCAAGTTGCAGCGGAGGGTGCAGAGCTGGTGGCCGGGGTAGTGGTAGCCAGGTGGAAAGCATGGCCAGTCGTGGCAAAATGCTTGTTGAAATTCTCGATTATTGTAGATTTATCGGTGGTGATAGTGTTTCCTAGCCTCAGTGCAGTGGGCAGCTGGGAGGAAGTGCTCTTATTTTCCATGGACTTTACAGTGTCCCAAAACTTTTTGGAGTTAGTGCTACAGGATGCAAATTTCTGTTTGAAAAAGTTAGCCTTTGCTTTCCTAACTGCTTGTGTATATTGGTTCCTAACTTCCCTGAAAAGTTGCATATCGTGGGGGCTATTTGATGCTAATGCAGTACGCCACAGGATGTTTTTGTGCTGGTCAAGGGCAGTCAAGTCTGAGGAGAACCAGGGGCTATATCTGTTCTTAGTTCAGTATTTTTTGAATGGGGCATGTCTATTTAAGATTGAGAGGAAATTACTTTTAAAGAACAACCAGGCATCCTCTACTGAC